ATTTACAATAATTTTTAATAATTTTAATTTTTTAGTTTAAAATATACTTTGATATTAACATAAAAGGAAAGTAGACCTATATTTAAGAAGTGTTTAAAAAAAACAATTTGAAATCCTATTTTAAAAAAAAATTAGATTAAAATAATAAAACTTTTCAATTGATATTAGCATTTTGCAAATAATCTAATTCGATCTGAATTCTGAATTCGATTAGATTCAAATTCAGATTTATGTTTAATTTAATCTGCCAGATCTGGACTGAATTTAACTTCAGATTTGATTTAATCAGATAGATTTAGATTTGGATTCAGATTTAATTTGTCAGATTTTAAATAAAAAACCTATCTCAAAAGTTGGAGACAGCATTTCTAATTAAATAAATAAAGATTATTATTTTTTTTTATAATAAAATCTATTCTGAAAGTCGAAGTAAAAATTTTTAATAACAAATCTATACTGATAGTTGAATATAGATTTTATTATTAAAAAATATAATAATTATTTTTTTATTAGAAAATATCACCTCTAACTGTTAAGACAAATTTTATTATTAAAAAAGCTGCTTGACTTTCAGGATAGATTTTCTAATTAAAAAAGTAAAATTTATTATTTTTTTAATAATAAAATCTGTTTTGATAGTCAGAGTTGGCATTTATTACTATAAAAACATTAAATATTCAGATTTAGATACAGATTCAGATACAAATATAAATACAGATACGAATATAAATTTGAATATGAATATAGATATGAATGTGAATTTGGATTTAGATATAGATACAGATTCAGATTCAGATTTGTCAGATATGAATTTGTATTTAGATTTAGATTTATCAGATTCAGATCAAATCAGATTTTCCTAAATCTGATCTGATTCAGAATACTAATTAATATTAATTAAAGAAAATCATTATTAAAATTCAATATATATATTATTTAATATCTCAAGTTAAAAAAGAAAGTATTTGAGATTAGTCATTAAAAATATTTATTTAGTTTAATATCAATATTATTTTAATATAAATTTAATTTATATTCTTTAGAATCATTAATATCTTTTTCTTATAACTTCTCTCAATTAATAAAAATTTACTAACTTATATTACTTTTCTTCTCTTTTTCCAGTATTTTATTCTTTTTTCTATCTTAATAACTCTTTATACCTAAAGATGGTTCTTATAATTATTTTTAAAATTTTTAATTAGTTGCAACTTAAGTTACAACACTTTGAGTTGCAACTATTTATGAATTTTTATATTAAAATAAATTTACAAGCAGTTGCAACTTACTGAGTTGCAACTTCTTAATTATGATACTCATCTTTATTTACATCTTTAACTGGTTACTCTTTTTTTTATCTATCCATTATTTTTGCTTATTTTTTTCATATTAATTTCAGTTTTTTTTTATAATATTTTTTTTTTGAATTTGTTAAATAAATCCTATATAAAGCTTGCTTCTTTTATATGATATTGAAAATCAATAGTTATAGATTATCTATATCCGGATAAGAGTAAACATATTTTTATAACTTTAATTAATTAGTTATTTATTTAAATTTATTTGTTTTATATTATTTCAAACTTCTTATTATATACCAAATTTGAATATGATATTTAGTATCACTAAATAATAAATAAATTATTAAATTCAGTAAGATATTATTAACCTTTTATTATAATGAATTGTAACCTTCAAAAATAAAGATTCATTATAAAAAGATTCAACTGTATTCATATTTAGCAATATCCAGATCATTATATGAGAGGCGGTCAGTAGAAGGAGAAATCCAAAATTTTTATTAATTTTATTAAGCTAAATTTGTGCACATGATCGAGATTAGCCAAATGGTCTAATAAAATAAATTTTGACCAAAATTTGGATTTCCCCTTTTTTACTGACCACCTTCTATATATAAAAAATCCTTAATTAGACAGAATTTTCTAGGATATTATAGTAGATACTTATCTTATTGGCCATAGTATCTAAATGTTAAAACCTTAAATAGTACCTTAATTTACAGACTAACTAAATATCTAATAAGAATTGCAAATAATGTATAATAAGAAAAAAATATGTAAAAAGTAGAAAGTAAAAAGTAATAAGTATTTATATTTTTGATTTTTAATATTAGTAAAATAGTTTATATTATATGAAAGATTTGTTAGGAAAATGGGTTTTGAGTATTTTTTATTAAAATTTTAATTTTTAATCTAACATTATCAAAAATTAAAATACAATAAAAATTAAAATTTTAATAAAAAATGCTTAGAGTCCTATTTTCCTAGCAAACTTCCTATATATATTGGTATAATCTTATTATTAATTCAAGAAAGTTAATATAATATAATATTATAACTAATTAAAGTTTATATATTATAAATTAATAACTTTCATAAATTTTAATATAAAATATTTTAGAATTCAAGTTTTCTAGAAAATTTCAAAATGATAAAAATGATAAATAATAGTTTATTAAATTTTTTTCCTAAAAATAACTAGATAATAAATTAATTTTAGATAGAAAATACAATTTATTATTTTTATAACTTAAGGTTAAATAATTATATCATAAATTTACATGTATTTAAAAATTTATAAAATTAATTTAAATAATTTATCAAATAAAGTTTCTTGTAATAGAAAAAATAATTGCAAATCATCAGATAGAATAAAATCATATATATGATCTTATAACATCGTAATATCCGCTAAATCTGCTGATCTTGACAGATATATGAAATGTGATATGTTAAATATTTTATATATATCAGATACTATATATAAAAAATAGCAGATATGTCATAAGTAAATATTATATAGAGACTAGTAATACTTGAAAAAATTTCCTTTTTTAATATGACAAAATTGATAAAACAAAAATGACGAAACTATTTTACTTAATTGCTAAAATTATATTTAACTTAATTTAAATTTCTTAAATTAAAATATATTAAAAAATATAATAACTTTATATTTTTATATTTATTCATATTAAAGAAACGAATTCTTTTGATGAAATTACAATTTTCAAAAAAAAATTTATGGCAGGTATTACTAATAAAGATCTAGAAGACACTGAAACCTTTTTTTTTATTAATAATTAATTAGTATTAATAATCAATTATATAACTTTATATTTCTTTATTTGTTATATTATCAAATTTTTATAAATTAGGTAATTATAGAATTTCATTAACAAAAAGAATTACTTAGTCTTATCAAAAACAAGATATTACTAAATACAATTTTATTAAAAAACAAATATACTTATATTGAATTTTTTTCTTAATAAAATTTTAATTATTTAATCTATAATTATACTTTATTTCAAATTATACTTTTGATTGTATTAACTTTCAGAGCTCTTTATAAATTCTCATTATATAGATTTTAAAGCTAAATCCTTTGTTATTCTTATGTTAATACTAATATTCAGTTTTTAATATTATAAACTAATACTATTATTATAAATTTATGCTTATAAAAGCTTTTTAAGATTTTATGTTTTTATAAATATTTGTTAAAAGTTAAAATAAAAATTTCATATTACTAGCATTATATATTTGATTTTTTATTGATATTTGTTAGTTTATTATCTTTATGAATATACACATTCTATTACTTATATAATTTAAAAAAATTAAAAACTTTTTTTTTGAAAAAATATTTAATAATTATATAATTTCATTTTACTAAATATAAATAAGAAAATCATCTATTGAATTATAATAACATTTGTAAAGTACTTTTTTGAATAAATTTTTTTTATTTGCTATAAGAATAAACATATTTGGAATTTTTTTTAAGTTATCTAAAATATAGATATTTAATATATCTAAATTTCAAAATAATTTCATAACATTTTCTTGTAAGATATATTTAAAGCAAAGTAGGATCTCATGATATGCATATGAAAACTTTGCAATAGAAAGGTATGAAAACTAAAAAAATTTTTTTGAATTAATATTAAATCTTAACTTATTTACTAAAAAATTATATTTAGCTTATAAAGAAAAAAAAAATTTAATTTTTTTAAGTTTTATACCTTTCTATTGCAAATTGTCCATATAGTTTGTCACCTAATGTTAGGCCTTTTACTTGTCAATTTTACTATATATAGTATTGCAGAAACTTAGAATGTTTTCAATATGTAAAATCTTATTTGTCACAAGGTTTAATATTTCATTTCTTAATGCGTAATGCCGGCCAAAAATTCCGTTAAATCACATGATTATACTCCGAGGGTAAATTTTCCACCCCTGTTTTCATTTTTACTGTATTCTGGGGACTTGAATTTTTTCACCACTAAAAAATTTTTGTTTCATTCCCTTAAATATCACTGTAATGTGGGGGTGGAAATTTACTTATGAACTTTGGGTCGATAATCCGAGGGTTGAAACCACGTGACAAATAATTAATAATTCAGATGGAAATATTTAACATGAGATATTTTCTTGAATAAACGATAATTGAATATTTATTTGTTGACATGTATTGATCAGTTGATAACATACAACACATCAGCATTTATTGGTTCTAGATAATGCAAATCAGAATTATTTTAATTTATTTTATACAACGAAATTTTAGCCATATTATAACAAATTTCATTTATATTTATTTATATTGTAGCGTATATAAATTGTGAAAAAAATCTTAGAATTTATAATTTATAAAGTCATATATATTTATATCGATTTAGAATGGAATGAAATACTGTACACGAATTACAAAAAAAAATGCGAAAAGCGGAATTTCTAGAAATAAATATTTGTGAAGAAAATTTTAAAATTATAAAAACACGTCACATATAGGTTTAGAATGGAATGGAACGAATTACTGTACACGAATTAAAAAGAAAAAGCGAAAAAGCGGAATTTCTAAAAATAAATATCTGTGAAGAAAGTTGTAAAATTATAAAAATACGTCACTTGTCTAAAATTTGTAAATATTTTATCGATTCAATATATGAAGACACAAAATATCAAAGTATAAAATCACGATTTATAATTATTGGTATTGTGTGGTAAATGAACTCCAATTTGTTGGTAGAAATCTGTATCATACGCGGACGTTAATGAGGTTGTCGGTGATACAATTTGATTTTGTAAATGCAGCATATCAAAAGAATTTTCTCCAATATAAGAAAGCGAAGATAGCGATTGATGCATTGTTGGATTAGTGTACATATTTATCAAACTTTCTAATTTTTCAATACGATCATACAAAATGTCGATAGGTGTAGTTGTTGGAGATTCCATCTGAGCTTGTAATTGCATTTGACTTTGCATCTCAACAGGAACTTCTGTATCAAAATTTGATAGAGATTGAGGGATTTTCGAATTAATAAACTTATTTAGTAAACTCTCCAATTTTCCAATTCGGTTAATAAGAATGTCGATAGGTGCAGTTGTTGAGGTTAACATCGGAGTTTGTAACTGACTTTGTATCTCTAAAGGAACCACTGTTCCAATATTAGATAATGATTGGGGGATAGTTGTATTAATTCGATCATTAATAACGCCGATAGTTGTTGTCGGAGTTGCCGTTTGAATTCTAGATCTTTGTAATAGCTCGTTGCCAATTAGTTTAGATAGATTAAAAAGTTCTTCTGTTCCAATATTAGATAACGGATGAGGATTTATTTGCGCATTATTATGTTTTGTTGCGTTAGTTGACTTATTTACCAAACTTTCTAAGTTTCCGATTCGATCTTTTAGGACGTCATTAAATTCTTCATTTTGCTCATATTGTCTGCTATAATTATTATTATTGCTTTTTTTAATGACATTTTGAACCTTAGAAGCTTTCTTTTTTTGCACCGGAAGATTTGCCCTTCTAACTGTCATGATATGAGTTCTTCCAGTTGTGTCTACATAGTCTTCGCTTACAGCAAGAGATTTCCTACCTCTTTTTGATTTAGTAGCGAATTTATTGTCAACGATTTGATCATTGAAGGAGTTCATGTTTCAAATTTAATTACTTTGCTAATAAAGAAAAGATTTTTAAAAATGGAGTTTATTTATAAAAAAACCAATTCAGTTTTTTCATATTACGGAAAATATTTTATTTTAACCGGACTTTGTGGATCCATTCCACAAATAAACAATTCTCTTACACAGCATATAACTCTTGTTTAGATGGTAAAGATCATTTCAAATTTTGTAAATTTTCTCAAAGCGGAAAAATTATTTTATGTGAACTTTTATGAAAAAGGTACATTAGAACCAAATAAGTACAAAAAGCGATTTTGAACTTTTGAGTAAACGAATTATTGCTACTTCAATCAATAAAAATTTTGAAACTAATCCACAGTAAAATATTAAATAGATTCTTTTCACAAATGCCTAAATATTATAAATTGAGCTAAATAAACTATATTTTTATCGATAAAAAATATAATTTATTTTTTTAATGTGTATTTTCATGAAGTTCTATCTAAACAAATAGTTGTCGTTGTTTTTATGCTTTACTATAAAGTATAAAATGTATAATACTAGTTTTATGATAAGTTATATATTCATAAAATTCTCGAATAATCTATCAGTTATTAATTTCGATCTGCAATTTGTTGTGTTTGTTGTGTTAACCAGTTCACTAAAATCTGATTTACCAAAATAAAATTCTACTTATATGGTTATTTTAAACAAAGTTCAATGAAATTAATTTGCTGGATATACATTTAATTTTATTGTATCTTTCCCAAAAAGTAAAATTAACTACTTTGGGCGACAATCTGATAAATTTATCGAAATAAAAAATTTAAATTTAAAATAAATCGAATTATAAATCAAGTTCTTTCACGTTAAATTTTATTACACTTAATAAAGAACCAATGACGGTGTATTACGAAAAAAAAACTTCGAAAGATATTTTTGACTTATTCGGAGAATATACGACCTAAAATAAGTAAATTTATTCATGAAACCAATTATAATCAAAAGTAATAGATTTTAAATAACGTAACGCTAATAAGAAGTTTCAAGATGGGGCCCATGCGGCATTAACCGATAATAGACTCATTCAATAAATGGATAGAATTTACAGTGTTTGAATTGTGTCCCTTGTGTCCCGAAGTGCATCTGGAGAGTTCACCAGTTTCTTTGAATCCTTGGGGCTAAAAATCAAATAAAATGTTAATCTGATATAATTGCATAAAATAAAAAAATTTCTAGCACGATGAAATGTATGTTACGCAAATTAATGGTAATAATATGGGTGGTATGCTATTAAAATTGAGGTACGAGACATAGTAAATCGTATGATCCGTACCTCAATTTTAATAGCACACTACCCATATGCTTTGAGTGGAAGGTAAGGTAAGAAAGAATGAGTTTACTTTATATTTAAATTTTTAGCTACAAAAAAAAGTCGGTCAGATTATGTTGGCAGACATTAAAATTTTGGACTTTTTAATTTTTCAATTTTACAGTGTATTATTTAAATAAAAAATCACATAATGCTCACATATGCCAACACGCAATAATGATCCTTTAAAACCAATTATTACCAACCACTGGTTTAATATCTTAAGATTTTATTAGCTGTCAATAAATTTTGTAGTTATATGAATAAGGTCAAGTATATAAAAATTTAAAATAAATAAACATACTAATAAAAATTTTTAATTTAATTTAGAAGATTTTTATTTTTGCTGATTTTTTAGGTTTTATTTTTGTGATATTTTTTTTTCAATAAGACAAAATTTGTTCGATTTCATGTCGAATTTTTATAAGCTAGTTACTCTGAATTAAATAAAGATTTTAAAGCTTTTGCATATTTTCTATATACTTTACTTTCACAATTTTTCTTTAAATAATGACTTAAAATTCAATCGTTATTACGCTCTTTAAAACTACAATGTAGGATAATGCACATGTAAACCTTTTTAAATAAAAGTTTATAAATTTTAGAACGTTATCAATTAGAAAATTATTTAAGAATTGAGATATAAGTTCATTTAAGGTTATTTCTTCACAACAAAGGTAATTTTCCGATCGCTATCTGATATAACCATTTTATGTAAAAAAAAAAATATATTTATGTATAAAAAATCTTTTGATTTATATTTAATACAATATATTATAAAACTATGTTGTAGTTATATAAATGTAACTTTATTTAATTACTTAAAGCTTATCATAGGAAAATAATTTTCAGTTTACGTTGAACAATGATACCCATTCAATAGATTATCAACGAAAGTTGAAAGAGATTTCACAAAAAAAAATTAAAAAAATGTTTCTTAAATTGGCAATAAGTGAGCTAATTGTTTTGCCAAGCTGTACAACGTTACTATTTTATTCGTTAAATTATAATGTAATGATCAGAAAAGGCAAATATTATAATGTGTTCTTTCTCTTTTTGGTGATAAGTTTCTAGTTTAGTGTTATACCATTTTTAAAAATGATTTCAGAACAAAAATACATACAGTTTCTTGTGCCGAAAATTTAGTTTACGTGATTTATTCATCTTTTTTTCAAATGTATTCTTAAATGTATATTACGTATGTCTTATTACTTAGAATGAAATAAATTACGTAATTAAATTTTGCGTACCATGATTTCCGTGTTATAAAAAAGTAAGAAACTTAGCATTTCGATTAGATAAATATTACATAACGATAGTTAATATCTGAAGATGAACGCTGTTCAATTAATGTATTCAAATATTCTGGTCTGGTTCTATAGTATCTTCGTAAGGTAATAAAGAATTCATAAAAGAATTTAATATAGTTGGTTTGTGTAATTGTATTTGATTTTGCATCTCAAAAGAACAATAATTGGATGGCGATTGAGGAATTTCGCATCAATAAACTCATTTATCAAACTTTCTAGTTTTAATTCGATCATTAATAATGTCGATAGGTGCAGTTTTTGGAGTTACTATCTGAGTTTGTAATTGTATTTGTCTTTGCATCTCTAAAGGTTCCATATTGAATAACGAATGAGGAATTATTGTATTATTTCTAAATTTCCAATTCGTTCATTAGGTAAGCCGATAGATGTAGATGGTGTTAATGTGTATGTCGTCGGATTTTCCATTTGAATATGTAATTACATTTGATTTTGCATTTCAAATCTTTTAAATAGCTCGATACCAATTTGATTAGATAGAATAAAAAGTTCTTCTATTCTCATAATAGATAAAGGTTGAGGATTTTTTTGTGCGTTAATATTACGTTTTGGTGAGTCGATATATTCATCAATTTTATCACATTGTCTGCAATAATTATTGGTTTGTTTTATATTCTTTGGAGCTTTCTTATTTTGCGTCGGAGAATTTGATCATAAAATGATTCTTCCGGTTAGATCTACATGGTCGTCGTTCACGGCTAAGGCTTTTCTTCCTCTTTTTGGTTTATTATCAACTGATTTACCATCAAAGAAGATTTGTTTGTTCATTTTTAATTTATTATTATTATGAGGGCAGAAAGTTGAAAGTAATGTCAAAAAATGATCCCACAAACTTGATGCACTTATGGAGAAAAACGTGTCGGGTTACACAATTATAAAAGTACAAAAACGATATTGACAGCAAGCTATCTAATTATTTTAGAAGTTGTATTGAAATTTATTTCAAAGAAACAAGAAGCATAACAAATTATTTTCTAGCACATTTTCATGCTGCCTAAACTTATGACGATATACTTGTTTTAAACGCGCTTCAATAGTTTTAATCACTCAATTTATCCACCGCAAATTTTTTAAACAAGTTTTGGATGTTTTAAAATGTAATACATCAAATATGCTACACTAGCCATAATAATACGTTATTTGTTGATTTCGCATAAGTAATTTCTTTTCGGATATTTTATCCAATTGATATTTCTTTATACTTTGATTTGTTTTATTATTAAGCCATGAAAATCAATAAAATATATGATACAGCGAACAGTCACTGCCAGAAGATACATGCAAGAAATGCTCATTTTTGTATAATAAGTTAATATATTTATTTATTTATTTATTTATATTTATAATTATATTTATAGAATAGAACTAACGGCGATTTAAAATAAAATTCTACTAATATGGGTATTTAATCATTAATTTTAATAACAAAAGAACTTAAAATCACCATAATTTCCGATAAATTTTATTATATAGTTTCGATTGAAAAATTGAATTTGGAAATGATCACTCTTGATTTAACTTTATTAATTTTAGGTAAAAAGAACTTCTGACAACATCGATGAAAATAATATGAGTTATTCGATACCGAAATTTGAAATAGTATATAAATGAATTCATATTTTGAAGGAAGTTGTTCTAATTATCCAGGATACTTTATTAATTAAAGTTTCTATTGGATGCCCGCATGACATGATTGGTCAACGTTTCTAATTTATATGAATTTATGTAGAATGTTTTGTACTTACAAATTTATTAAGACATTTTTGATTATGAACATGTTTAACTAACGCTAATAAAGAACTTTAGTAATGCATTTGTCATTGGACGAGTTTAAATTCATGCGAATAAAGCTCCATCTCACAACCGTTAAATTTGGTTAATAAATCGTTATTCAGAAACAAAGTGATCACTAAAATTTAATTTTGTTTGGCCATAAAATGAGTAATCAAATAGCATTTTTCTATTTTAACAGAATAATTTACGCTTTTTATTTCAATGATGATCAACTGCATTATTTATTTTCCAAATTAAGAAAATTTTTTTTTTTAGGATTAATAAAATCATTAATTCATAATTAGTAATTGTTTATAAATAAATGGTTTGAAAATGGCTCAAAAAAGGTTCACGGTACTTTACCAATTTGAATTGATCTTGCATGTTATACATTATAAAGTCAAAATGGTGCAAATTTATACATATTTTTGATTATTTTATTTGGTTTGTAACCCTTTAAATAAACAAGGAAAATAATAATAATTATGTGCGACTAAATAAATTTTTACCGCAGCTATGACGATAAATCAAAGTCGGGAATTTTCTTATCTAAAAGGAAAATTATTTCTTGCTCCGTTATAACTCATGTGTATACTTCACATCTACAATACACATTTAAATTTGTTTTCTTTGCATTTGTTATTAAAGTATATTTACTTTTTCGAACACAAAAATTAGTTATTGCAAATTAACTCTTCCAGGTATATTTTTTATTTTTATCGATTTTTATCTACCTTTATAAATCACAAAAAGAAATTTTTAATACAGGACAACATGGTATTTAAAACGAATATTTATGTGGTTGGAACAGCTATAAATCCTTAAGATGATGTAAATTATTTTAAAAAATATTGAATATGTACTTTAATTTACTAACAATTTTATTATGGTAATAATAAGAACGTTTTAATGGAACGGGAAAGTAAAAAACATTTATCTGATATTTTAATCGGTTTTAATTTTAATGTGTATCGACCGCGTTTCTTTTGTCCTAAAAAATTCATTTTCTTCGGGTCATCAGCTAGATTTAATTGAGCGGTTGTGCATTCCTTGGTTTATTTGTTTGTTCATGCACGTACTGAATTGCCGCCAATCAATTTGGAACAAGTACATAAAAAATTGGATCGATTGAAATCGAACTTTTTATAAGCTTACCAAGCGTTTTATAGATGTTAATGGTCAAGAAAGGTCATATTAGAATTGTTTAAGCATAGTTTTAATTTTTTTATTTGGCTAAATATTTCATGCGATAATTAGATTATATAAACGACGAAGAAATGAGGACGGATCTCTCAGTTCCATTTTCGATTCTGCCTTGGGATTTCCTAAAACTAGGATCGTCAAGCTAAAGTTTATACAAATAAATATCCCAATTCTTTCAAGTAGTTAGTAATTAATAAATTATATAATTATATAAATCCAATATTTGATAACTATTTATCATTATTTTGCTTTGTTGAATTAGTTAACTTATTTATCCAACTTTCTAATTTGCTAATTCGATCATTAAGAACGTCGATATATCCAACCTTTTTCTCATATGGGGCCTTTGCAATAGAAAGGGGGAAACTGCCGGGATAAATCAATTTTACTTTTATGTGCCATATATGATTTTTAGGCTGAAATATGCTCAAATTTAGCATTAACTAATTTTTTATTTTTTCCGGTAGTTTCCCCCCTTCCCATATTAACTGCAATGATTATGACTTTGAGCCTTTGGAAATTTCTTTTCGGTGTCGAAGGTTTTGATCTTCTAACTGTCATAATATGAGTTCTTCCGGTTGTGTCTTTATGCCCTTCTCTTACAGCAAAGGCTTTTCTTCCTATTTTGATTTGGTAACAACGGGGTTATCATCAAAGTATTTTGTATACATTTTTTTGATTTATTTATTATTCTTTAATGAAAACAAATGGTAATAGGAAAGTGTAAAATGTTACACAAATTTTATCGGCTATTTATTCACCCAAATAATTAAATTTAAGCCACAAACAAACAGATTTGCATTAGTAAATATTTATTGAATAAACAATTGATGATTAGTTAGCTACTTGCCTGAAATTTATTTTGTAAAAATTGTCAAAGAAACATTTTTTAGACATTTACAACAAAACACACAAGCAGTGTTGTCATGGGACGCGGACACATGGACCGGATATGTCCGAGATTTTTTTATGTCCGTGACTTTTTGTTTGCATTAATGCTGGCCACATCACTTTTTAATTCTGGCCAAAAGATATCTAATATCGGTCCATGTCCCAACTGTCCAGCGGACAGTCCCGGACATGGACTTTCGGATGTCTCGTGTAACGTCCGTGTACAACACTGCCCACAAGTTATTTTCACAAATTTATGATTGTTATAATATGATAGAATTTTATATATTTGTGGTATTATTATTGGAAGCTTTCTCCTATGATTTAAGAATTGCAACTTCTAAATATTCTAGACATGATAACCGAAGGAAATAAATTTCACATTTACTTAACGCGTGAGCATTCATTATTAAACTTTTAACTAGCCATTAACAAAGAGTGGTTTCGGTTCTCCATAAAAAACCTACTATTATGACAAATAAAATTGTTAAATATGTAATTTTAATTAATTTTTGCACAATAGATTAGAGAACTTTGTTTTCTTATCTATATTTGGGTGTACCTGGAGTTTGCGAAACGCTAATGCATAGTGAATGGTGATTAATTTAGGTTTGCATGGTAATGGATGAAATCTTAGCCAAAAAAAGTGTGCTAAAAGGAAACAAGGTAAGGTTGCTTGTTACTCATGTGCGACACAAAATTAAAGTGAACTCGTGGTCATGGTAATACGTGCACTTTGCAAAATCCCATTATAATTCGCGTGCAAAATTAGTTTATAAAAATGTTGATTGCAGAAAACAATAATTTATGAATCGTGTAATATAAATAATTTATTAACAATTTTAAAAAATTTATTTGGTTGAAAGGAATAGCATTATAAATAATATAAATTATTAGACATTGTTGAAAGTCGAAAACGAAATGAAAAAAAACACGTTAATAAGCACTATTTGGGAGTCGGTCATAGAAATTTAAAATTATTCAAATTTTTTTAGATCAACCCATTTTCTATTGACTGTGTGCAATTTTGGGTTTCACAATAATATTTTTTTTATTTATTTTTTACTTGACCTGAGTCAATCGGAATTACATAAATTTACTTTAATTAATACCTAAAAAAAATTTTGTACGAATTATAATTATTATTATTGTTTGGGTAAAAATTTTATGAATCATGATTTTTATTCTTAAATTGGCAAATAATTAAGTTTTACAGCGGTAAAAAGAACTTAAAAGAGATAAGGTCAGCAGATTTATGTCTAGTTATATGTCAATATACCATACACAAAAAAAAAAAAAAAAAAAAAAAAAACAAAATAAAACAAAATAGTGGTAATATACATATAATATTACTGGTCACAAACAAATACAAAACGGCGAAATAAACAAAAAGAACAATACTACTAATGTGGAGATGAAATACACTAAACTAACATAGTAATTTTTATTACCCTATTCTTTATATAAAAATGTAAAAAAAAAAAAAGCAAACAAACAAAAAAACCTGAATTTCTATAAAAAATATGTAACATTAAATCCATTAAATCCATAATATGTTTAATTAATGGAGAAATGCACACTAATTTTCTGGTGCTGTAACACCACCTACTTCTTAAAGTTCGCATGGGTAGTTGTTGTGACTATAAATTTGAAAATTTTACACATTTTAATTTACAAAGTAGATTAGATATTTAACGATTAATTATTGCGAATTTTACATTGTAGAAACGATTTAATAGGATTTAATAATCAAAATGCTTTTAAAAATTTAATTTATGATCACATACTAGTTTTCTTTATTTTAAAAGATCTAAATATATTTTATAAGAATAGAGATTCGTGAAATCCACACAATTACTCGCTCTTATGAAAATTCTCAGGAATGAATTGCATTTACTTGTTAGACACAACATGACATTTAACACAGCGTTACACAACACAGATCAACTTGATTTATTTTGAAATGACTTTGTATTTTTCTGACCAAGACTTAATTAAAGTATGAAATTGTTGATTTTTTACATTATATTAATTTTTTCATAATCGCAAACTTTTTTAATACTTTCATGACATGCAAGTTCTTAATAGCTTGTTGGCCATTTCCTTGCCTTCACGCATAATCGAAAAAATACATTGTGAAAGATTTTTTAGGATTCTTTGTCCGCGTCTTAAGAGATTTATTGTAAATCATGACTTTTTAAATTAGATTTAAGTAGCTGTTGCTGTTTTAAAATCACAAAATGTAGGTTTAAGAATGTTTTATTTTTGACGCATGATTAAAATAAAGAACAAAATAAAATAATAAACAAGGGCTATATTGTTATTAAAAAAAGAAAGTTTTAAAAAATTACGATCAATCTTGATGTTTTTATCATTATTTCTATAAATTTTTTTATCTTTGTTCACTCTTTATTTCATATATTGATTGTAAAATATCATCATAGATCTTTTTTTTAATATTACGATTTTCTTCAAACTTTTATTTATAGAGATTACTCTGATTTTCATATGTAATATAAATTCTAATTCTAACACTTTATCAATTATAAACAAATGCATTCGCGTTATTTTTTTCCCCTTAATTCCCTAAATTAAAAGATTTCCGAATTCATGAAAGTGGGTGGGATAAATAACATAATGGTTAATCCCCAAAAAATAATCACGATATGTATACTACTTTGTTGTCGAGTTATTAAGGTTGTTGGTTAATTGCAAAATCTACTTGTGCATACGGGATTAGGCTTTGCATCCCAAAAGTGTCATCCGTCCCAACGTAAGATAAAATTGTTGTATTAGGTAAATTTAATAACCCTTCTACTTTTCCTATTCTTTCATTAATATTTGCTAAAGATTGTAATAGCATTTGATTTTGTATTTCAATTCTTTCAAACATCTCGTTATTATTTTGATTATGTAAGTTAAATAAATCTTCTTCTACTCCAAAATTGGATCGGTTCTTTGTGTATTATCATTATTGTGATTTGTTAGCAAACTTTCTAATTTTACTTTAAGAGCTTCGACATCTTTATCTTTTTGCTCACAATTTCTGCAATAATATTTATTACTAGGATTTTCTGAAGCCTTTGGTGATTTTTTTTTTGGCGTCGAAGGCTTAGAACTTTTAACTACCATAAAATGTTTTTTTCCAGTTGTGTCCACTGGATCGCTCACGGCTATGGCTTTTCCGGAATTTCTTCCCCTATTTGATTTATTAACAATAGGATTATGAAAAAGTGAGGGTTTTTGCTTCATTACTACCTTTGATTTCTATGAGGGTAAAATGTAAAGAAAATTATTCTACCTAGTTGATATTGATATTTATAAAAAAAAGTAGGTGTGTTGGAAAATCTCTGTTACACGAGATAATTTAAATATATAATATTGTATTGTATTGGGTGTCTTTTATTTATGCAGTAATAATTTAATTAACAAACAAATATGTGGAAATTTGAGTAGTAAAAGTCTGATGATAACAATAGACAAAAATGTAGAAAAAAAGTGTCATTATCTTGCGCGATAATTTTTCGTAATAAGATATAACCACCTAAAGGTTTATTTGTTTAATGAATTAATGCGTTTATGAAAATTGTTTGCGCAATATTATCTTTGATTTTAGATCGATATTACGAGGGAATATAATAATTTCCTAAAAATAAATCATTCGATAAAATATATTTTTTTTATTTATTTATTTTTTAATGAAATTCTTCAAATATTTATTTTGCAATTTTAAATAATAATCAAACCACAAATAGTTGAATAAATTGCGTTACTATGTTCATTTATATTTCCTAAATTGGCAAATAAAATAAATGATGAATGAGGAACAAAATCAAAAATTTACTGTATCATTAAAATTCAAAAATATTTGAAGAATTGTATTTTTAAAATACTCTCTTTATTTGGCCAAAAAAATAAATTTAAAAGATCTTTTTTGTTTCTAGTGACGCAATTTTAATTAACAAAATGTAATAGAATTTATTCGCATTCATTTATCATGTCCAATGATGAATGCATGCTCAATTTTTTATTAGCGCTAGTTTATCATAAAAAGAATATGGTTCTAACCTTCTCTTATAAATGTGTTTATAATTAAGACATCCAATAGAAACTTATGCTATTAAACAGATCATCCACATAGTCCAGTAGACTGGTGGTTAAATATTAACTAGCATAATCCTTTTTACAAACAATTTTATTAAGATAATAAAATGTGCGCCTTTATTTGCAGAGCGAGAAGTTTTATCCGATATTTGAATTTTCATTTGACAAAAGAAAGTCGGAATTAGATTATGTAAGTCATCAGAGTACAGCCTTCTATACAAATTGGCCACGATACTTTTGTTCAGCATTGAGTTTTTGTTTTTTGAATTTGTCGTAATAATTAATTTGTATAATGAAGATTTCTGGATCGAGAGAACATCTATCCAGTATGAGAATACATTTGTATGCATTTTATTTTATTGTATATAGTATTTTTTTACTCGTCTTAATGTTCCGACCATTAAATTCTCACACTTTTTTTCTAAAGGTTCATTTTTATCGCTAGGTTTGTATGGTTAGTCATTAAACCACCAAATGTCGTTTTCAAATAACAAATAACCTACATGAAAAAAATGCTTAACGGTGTCGATCAGTGCAGATCTTCCTAGTAGTGCTTCGAGCCGGTCGAATCGACCCGGGTCATTTGACCCGACTCGAGAAAAAATTCGAGTCGGGACTATCATTTTATGTCACGAGTCCTAATTTCTTCGGGTTAGGGTCTCGATTTTGCTTGACCCGGGTGACCCGAATGATCAGGTGATGCTATTAAATGATATGTGATATGCGCAACTTTTTGAGCGACCTTATTAATTACAGCTTCTCTTGGAAATCGAAAATAATTGCGAAGCGAGCTTTTTGCCAAAGAGCTTTTGAAGAGAAACTTCTTCCACCTGAATATAAAATTCAAAAACACTTCAAATCAAAAAAACATCGAGAAGTTAGATGTCTTAACTGCTCATATCTTTTTTAAATAGAGTATAATATGATATATTTTAGGTTGATATTTTTTTTTTCAAAAATATTAGTGGACATAAAAGGGTGCTCCGCAATATTGGTGATTCAAATTTTCAATACAAAAAATTATGTCGTCATTTAAAGCGCAATCATCCAAATAGAAAAGAAATTATTTTAATAAACCCTGTTGAATGATTTAGACTTAATTTGCGCATGAATTCTTGGAGCCAATAATATATTTAAAAACACTAAATTTGAATTAATGTACAACCAAAGAACTTTAAAAATAAAAACTTTCAAATTTAATACACATTTTTCATTATATACATAAATAAAAAAATTTTTTTACTTTCGGTATGAATATTACCTTAAAATTCGAGTCGAATACGAGTTAAACAATAATCGGGTCGAGTCGAATTCGGGTCCTGTAAATATTAACGGGTTCGAGTTCGAGTTTGCTTCAAACCCGACCCGACCCGACCACTAGACGACTCTAACGGTTCGGTTCCAGTTTTGCGAGTTGAACCGAACCGAACCGATAGAGCGATTCCAAATAAACGGTTCTAAGTGACACCCAGAACTGAACCGACTCTGAAAAATTAAATTATTGAAAATCAAATAAATGTAATTATTAAAATGATAAAATTAAATAAAATATTCAATGATCATTCATTTCAGTACAAAAAATTTGCGTTACAAATTACTGTGCCACAAATTTTCCAATCGCTAATTTATTTTGTATATTTTAAATATTCATTTACTACATTCCAATTTAAATAATTTAAATATAACCGACTCTCAAGTGGCTCTTAGTCGCTTCAATTGGAACTTCCCTACTTATAGACCACATACAAACTCGTTCTACAGTAATAATCGTTGCTTTATCGTTATTAAAATAATTTCATTTTTATTTGGATGATGGAGGTCAAAAGTGCATTAAAATTTTGAAATTAAATTATAATAATATACTGTAATATATCAATTATATATAATTTATTAAAAATACATACGAGCAGTTAAGACAACTAATTTCATGATGAGTTTCTGAATTTTTATGTTCAGGTGGAAGAATATGCTCTTCAAAAAGTTCACTTCGCAATGCTTTTCATTTTCTAAGAATAGCTGTATTATCGGAATTAGTAAGGTCGATAGTTTCACTCATTACTTAAACTATTACAGATAAAGCCGCATGACATTTATATCATCATCTGGTCATTCGGGTCATTCGGGTCACCCGGGTCGACTCGACCGGCCTCGGAGCACTAGATATTATCAAATTTATCACAAGTTTGAATGTAGTATCTTAATACACATGTCATGAATATAATTGGTTTCGGACAAGTTAAATTATAAACCAAAAAAAAATTTTTGATCATACTGTAATTTCAATAATTTTTATTTTATTCAAGTGTATTTTAATTTCTACACTAAAAAATATAATTGGTTCCAATAATAACCTAATAATACATTTTGAATATCTTAAAATTTGAAAAATAACTGGGTATGATAATTATAGCTGCTTTCACTGACAGAGAAAGATTTCCTGCAACGATCAAAAAAATGTCACGAAAATTCACGTGATATATTGCATCACTAATAATTATTCTTGGGACAGAATTTTTTGATCATTAAATTCTATTCATCACTTAATATCCATCACATGTGCGATACAATTAATGTCAGCCGAATATCATAATGCCTGCCATTTTTTTGATGGGAACGCAGGGGCAGTCAGAAAGAAAAACTGTACCTTGTTTATTTTTACCTTTAGATAGGAGAATTCCGAAGTAATGATTGTAACTGACTCTAAATCAATCGAATATCGAATAAAAAATCGAATCTTATTTTTAGTTATGCAAATACTGTAAGCAGGGTTGGGAAGTACAGTGTTAGTACAATGATTAGTACAGTTAGTACAGTTAGTACATTATAATAATTAATATAAAAATTAGTACAAGTACAGTACAAGTACAGTGGTAATTTTATCTAGTACATACAAAATTCCCAACCCTGACTGTAAGTGCAGCGGGTATAAGAAAGATTAATTTCTTTTAAGCATTAAATAATTATGGTCGGAAAAGTTAAAATATATAATCATCGAATTTTTTTTTTTTTAAAAAAAATATAAATAGCGTAAAAATATTTGGGAGGTTTGCTAGAAAAAAGGGGTTGAGACTTGTCTCAGAACCCTTTCCCTAGCAATAAGAATTACCTACGCTTGAAGAATATGAAAATTTTTTAACAATTAAAATTATTTTTTGACGTTCAAATTGTGATCAAAAAAGCGCTGCGCCATATATTAAACCAACCGAAATTAAAATTAAAATCAACAAATGACTAATTTATCAATTTGAACTATGCAGAACTCTAATAACATAAAATTGGATCTAGTTTGTTCAAATTTAAAACCAATTTTAATAAGATTATTTATTATGAAAATTCGAATTTAATGAAAATAATTAAAATAGGTAATCTCTGAAATATAATATTTATGTTAATATTAGATATTGATTTAATTTCAACAATGACTAAGTTATTTTTATTTAAAAAGTTTTATAAATAAAATTTATTATTTAAATGATTTTATTTTTGTAACTTTTTTGAATTATACTTTATATTTAGATTTTTATGACTTATTCCTCCAAATTTTTATTTTTATTGTATATTTTTAACAAATTTTTCCTTGTATTATATATGAGATTTTTATAAATTTACAATAATAAAATTAATTACAATTCAGCTTTTTAGTTTTATTACAATTGAATATTTAATTGAATCAGTTTTATATAAATTCAGTTTAAATTAGAATTTCAAATTAAAAAAAGTTTAAAACCAATTTATGAAAATAATCCAATTATTTTAAAATACTTTAAATAAAAATATTAAAAAATAATATTAAAATATTTTTATATAAAAAATGATTTTATGCAATATTAAATGATAAATTCTTTATAAATATCAATATTACTTATTTAAAAAATATTTAAATTAAATAGATTTATCGTAATATGATTAATAATAAATAATACGGTGGTGTGGTGTGTTTTTTTTTGGAAGCCACTGTAATTGTAATCAAATTGAGACGAGATATCTGCCCGAGAGTTTTAGAAAAGTTTTCTAACTTCAAAAACAAATACGCACCAAATTCTCATCATTATTAAAAACACATTTTTCCTAAAATATTATGCGGAGAAGGAAATAATCAAAACCTCACAACCCAGTTCGAACGAGAGTTTCGTAATAGAAAAATTTTC